AACATCTTTATTCTAGCTTTGGTTAATACCTTTTACTAGATTCTTATTTTTTATAGCAGGAAGGTTTTTATTATTTTTTTTTAATTATTATTTTTAGGCGCTTTTTACTTTTCGCGTGCTAAAATTAACTTATATTAGGTTATTTTTATATTAACACCTTTAAAAATAGTTAAAAAATTTTACAGGCGCGCTATATACTATTAATATAACTTATTTAATATATAAATATAAATAATAGCTTTTTTAAAAGTGCCCCGGAGGGGGTTAAAAACTATTTCCTAAAACTTTATTAATTATACCTTTAATAATTAGCTATTTTATTAATTATTTATAAAACACTTTATTTTTTAACCAGCTTAATCTTTTTTTAGGTTAATTTATTAATATATAAACTACTTAAATATTGCCCACGTGGGTAGCTTAGTAAGCTTTTTTTATTTTATATACTACTTATATTATGTATTTTTTTTAACTTTACTTATTAAATAAATAACTTTACTTATTTTAGTGCTATATTATATAAGGGCTTTATTAAATACATTCCTAAAATTATTAAAAAATATTTTTAGTTTTATTAAGTTCTTACTATTAAAAATCTTAATATTTAAAGGCTTTAGTTTCTTTAGCTTAGGCTTATTTTATAATAATTACCATGCTAATATTTTAATAACCTTATTTTTAATAAATATTTAAGGTTATTTATATACTTAATTTTAATTAGGTGGTGTTTTGCCTACGGTGCTGTTACTATTATTTAAGCTTAATAAGTTAAATAGCTTTTTAAAATTTCCAGCGGGTAAAGGTAGCTTATTTAGCTACTAATTTTTTTTAATTTACTAAGCTATTTACTTGCCCTTATTAAGCTTTAGTTTTAATAGCATGTTTTACTATAATATTATAGTAAATAGCCTAGCCACAGGCGTCCCTAAAATAATATTTTTAATTAAAATAATACCTGTTATAATATATTTAGGGTTAATATATTATATAAAATTTTTAAAAAGGTAAGGCAGTAAAGAATTTTTTTAAGCCTTATTTATTAAAGGGGATAAGTTATTTAGTTTATAGTCTAAGTTATTAATTTTAATAACAAGGGTGTTATTATATATTAATAATATAGGTTTAGGTAGGAATAATAGTCCTAAGCTTTTTTATACTTAAATTTATATTTTAAAAACCTTAACCAGAACAGCTCTAGTTTACCTTAATTTATTTAAAAATTTAGTTTAAAATATTATATTAATAATATTTAAAAATTAATAAAAAAAGTAATTTTAATTATAAAAGCGCCCTAGCACCTAAATATTTTTTATTAATAATAATAAAGCTTGGTAAAGTATCTTTAACTAATAAAAATAAAGTATTTAAAACCTTAATAAATTTAACTAAAAAAATTACTTAAAAAAATAAATATATTATAGCCTTTAGCTTTTTTATATAAGCCTTGCTTAAAAGCTTAAGGCTTTTAAGTAATTTTTTAAGCTATTTTTATTTAAAAAGTAAGTAATATTTAAATATTTTTATATCCGCGCCCCCTATAGCTACTTTTTAATTATTAAGGTAATTTAATATAAAATATATTTTTATTTTACTATCTAAATAATACTTAAAACCCAAGGTCCCTAAGCTAAGGTCCCTAGTTAAAGCTAATATTATATTAAACCTAATATTATATTAAATTTAACGCTATATTAAGTCTTATATAGTAATTTATAATAATAAGGTTTATTAAGCTAAATAGGTGCCTAAGGCATCCCACACGGGTAATGTTAACGCTTTACGGTGGCGTGACCTGGGTGCCTCAGGCATTGCTCGATGGCGTGACCCGGATCAATGTCGGCCCTGACACTATTATTACTACGCTAAACCTTAAAATTAAATAAATAAATATAAAAATAGTATTTTTATACAAAAATATTAATATTATAATTTTTATAAAATAGCCTTATTTTTTTACTAATAGCTTTAAGCACGTTTACTAGCTTTAAAAGGCTTTTTATAGCCTAAAGTAAGCACCGTGAATTTAGTATTAATTACTTATAAATTTTTTAGTTATGTTAAGCCTTTATTTTATTTATTTAAACCTAAAAGTTTTTATTAATAGCAAGATTTTTATTACTATATATATAAATAATTTTTTACTAGTTAGCAGGAATAAAGCCTAAATCTAAAAAATTAAAAATATTTTAAGTAAGTACTTTAAAATATTTAATTTTAGCCCTTGTTACTATTATCTTGGCATAAAGGTTTACTAAAATTAGGTTAATTAAATACTTTAGCTTTTTTAGCTTAGCTATATAAATAAGATTTTTTATTAGTTTAGTATAAATAACTTTAAGGTTTATAACATGCTAATAAATCCCTACTTAAAGCTAGAGCCTACTTCTAAAAAGTACTTGGCTTTAATAAATATTTTAAAGTAGTATTAAAGCACTATTAGGTTTTTAATATATTTTATATTAAGAACTTAGGCTAATATTACCTACCCTGTGTTTATTTTAAGCTATTTTTTATTAAACTTATAAAAAAATATATAATAATTATTAAGCGCGTGTTTTACTATTTCTAGGGCTTTATAAACTATAAACTAGTGTTTTTTAGGGATTTTTAACCACTAACTAGCTATATTAATATTAACTAAAATAGTAACTTAAAAACATGCTATTTTACCTTTAAATATATATTTTATATAAGTTTTATAATTATTAGCTAGTTTTTTAAGCGTTAGCCCACCATGGCTTTATTTTTTTTATAAAGCTAAGTATATAAGGGAAATACAAGCTATTAAAAAGGCTATTTAACTTTACCACTTGCTAGGAAAGCTTATAAATACCTAAAAAAAAAATCCTATTATTACTATAATTTATAAAAATAATAAAAATATTATAGCACTAGCTAGTAACCCCTAGTTTTATACTAAAAGTAAGTATATTAATATTTAGCACTATTTTATTTAGGAAAAGAAAGTTAAAAATATTATTAATATTTAGTTTATTTTTACTAAAAAATAAATAATAAATAGCCTTACTAAGCCACTAGGGCCTAAGGTGTTTAAATACTTTAAAGCCTTACTAAAAAWTTTTTTTAAACTTATATAAATAGGTTTTTTAGTAGTCTTTGCACTGGGATTAGCCTTTTTTATACTAAACTTATAATAACTTATGTATTATAAAATTATGCTTAATAGTTTTTATTTTTAGCCTATTTTTATTTTATTTTTATTTCCGGGGATTAACCCTGCAGTAAAAATAATATAATATTATTTTATTTTTAAATCTTACCCTAGTTTTATATAATATCTTAATTATGGCACCTAAAGTTAATATATTTTTAGCCTAGTTTAATAAAATTTTTAGTGCTTTTTATATTTACCCATGGGAAATATTATTTTTAAATACTAAAATATAAGCTTACTAGCATGACTAGCTTATTAACTACTTTAATTAAAACCTTTATTTAGTATTTTTTTAGGCTTTAAAGCGTGGCTATACCACGTGGTTAGTAGCCTTTAAAACCCTAAAACTTTCCTAAATTAGGTAGTTAAATAATATTATTAGTTCCTGGCACATGTGGGCCGCTATAATAATTTTATTCCCTAATAAAAAAAAAATATTATTATTTAGGACTATAATCCCTGCTATAATCCTACTAGCTTATACCCTAAAGATTTTATATTTAGGGCTTAATTATGCTTATTATAGCTACTAGGCCAACGCTATATTATTTAAAATATATAGTATTATATTAGCACTAAGTTTTCTAAAAAAGATTAATACCTAAAATATATATTTTAATAGGTTTAATATATTATTATACTAGGTAATTTACCTTATACTAGGAATTAAAATTCCTAAATAACTTATTATATACTAGTTTATTATTACTAGCTAATATATTTTATATAAACTAGGCCTTATTCTTACCCCTAAAATAGCTTTTACACGCTTTAATATTTATTATTACTTTTTTAGTTATAAAAAGGTTATAAAACCTATAAAAAAGCTAGTAAACACGCTGGCTAGCCCCTAAATTTATAAATTACTTAGCTTATTATTTATTATTTACTTTGCCTTTAGGCCACCTAGTACCTAAAGCTTTTATTAAAAGTTTATTATTTTATATATTTTATTATTATTTACTTATATTTTTAAGGACTGCTCTGGCCTATTAATACCTAAAGCTTTTATTAATATTTATTATTTTTATTATTTTAATTACTAGCTTTTTAATACTTACTTATAAATTATATTTTTAAAAAAGCCTTTTCCCGGGACTAATAGCCTATAACTTATTAATTTAAAAAAAACTTTCCCTACGCTGGCAGCCTATAGTTTACTAACTTAGGAAAGTTCTTGGTATAAATAAGGGGGAGTGCTAAAAGTAAATGCCTAAGGCTATTAATAGCCTTAGGGCTCCAGTAAAAAAAGGTTATTTTAGCCTAAATAACCACCTATAAAACTTTTTATTTATCCCTAGAATAACTAGCTTAGCATACCAAGCAATACAAGAGACTTCTACATACAGTAACTATTCATTCCTTTTAGTAGACCTAAGGGGAATCAATTCACACACTCATATGGTCTAGACCCCCAGATTGGCGAGGACTGCGCAGTGCTGTATTAGAAAACAAAAAGTTAATTCTCAGAGTCAGCCAAAGATCATAGATGCGTGCAGCGTTAGGGCTCGACTTCTCCGTGGCAATACCATACGAATCGGACCCAAGGGGGAGGGTGCTATGTAGCGTGGGGACCGTAGAGTCCGCGCCGGAGGGCAATGATTATATTGAACGCAGGGACCTTACTGAGATATGCTAATGATGCAGGTGCTAATGCCGACCATGCGACTGAGCGGGATTTTGGACGTATACTATGATGCTGTCAGAAATGGATGTACTTTATCCTGGATATTGACATGAAAATACAAGTGACAATATACATATATGCAGGAAATATCAGGTACTGGACCAGGTCGAGAACCCCATCCTCTTATCACCTGCACCCTCAAGTTTGGTTGACAATCTGCACACATTGTCGCGGCACCCAACCCTCTTGATCAACCAGCGCTCTACACCAAAACCAGGCTGTATAGCTATTAGTGCCATTGAAACGCAAATGGCAGAGTGCCGCGGATGTCTTACCCTCCGCACAGCGCACCACCAGCAGCTCTTGCGATGGGCTCACAGACACCTCGTCTGGTGTGCTGGCTACAAACTTCCTTGTGGCTACGGCAACAAGCCGCCCATCGGCTGGCAATCGAATACCTAGATGGGCCGCGACGTCCTCGGGTGACTCGCAAGTTGTAGATGCACGGCGATAGCGGTCTGTGCAATGTTAGAACGGGCGGGGCTTTCTGAGGACGCAAATCGCAGGTAGTTGATTGACGGTTAGGGTCGGTTAGCTTACCGGGATGGAGTTGGCGGAAAGCCTCCAGCTGAGGAGTGCTGCCTCCAAGGACAGCGAGAATGATGTCGACAATAACATTCTTCACCTTCTGGTAGTTTTCGCATCCCCTCCCTTCAAATCTACACATATTGTAGTGGTCCGCGTTCAACGAGTATCTCCTGCCTATCGCCGGCGGAAGACCCTTGTCGACTACGCCTACGAGCTTGAAGGTTGTCAGCTCTCGCGCCACGTAGAGAATGTGTTATACTTACGTGAACAGTTAATGGAATCCGTTTTCCCTTTCGGCCCATTCTAAGCAATCTGCTAATCGTCTGGTTCTCACTCGGCCGGTCAATATACAGCATTGTGGATTTCCTTTCGTAAAAAGAGGTAATATGCATATCATGTTTGGAAAGCCTAACAGCTTCAACAAACTCTTCTGCTGTTCTGCGGGGTCCAAGATCATTTTCCATGAGGGTGAAGTATGAGAGGCGCCACTGGGAAGAACAGGAGCCTAATTGGTGTTTTTCTTTCAGCATCTGCTCATAACCCGCCCACTGCCGATATGTCGAATCATTGAAGCTGTAAAATGGCGTGCTGAGAAAGATACACCCTACTGTAAACTCGAGTACTTGTGCGTATTGTGGGCGGCGCTCGGCGGCAAGTGCTATTGTCTGGTGCGAAAGGAAGTCAGCGGTTGAAGCATATGCAAAGGGAGAATGCACTGCAAACCTTGGCCACCATGAGCCCACCCAAACAGTGAGCAACGAAGATAATGGGTTTTGGGTCGTGGCTCAGCTTGTTTGATACATTGTCAAGCAACAACTCTGCGTGTTTCCTGACAAAGACATCATCCATCACGGCAGTTTCCTCGGCTGACACTTTCCAGGAGTACGTGTATGTCCGAGCAAGTGGCACATCTTGTGGCAGCATATCACAAAGCCAGTTCACTCCAGCTAGAGGGTCCTCCCAGTCCGAGTAACCCATGAAATTCAAACCGGGAATTGCAATGATGCTATTTGATCAGGTACTGCTTATGTAGTTTGCACTGGGCGGACCTACCTGATACAAGAGTCCTCGCTTCCGCTTAGTATCTTCAGCGCGTCTGAAACCCACGGTACTTTACTATGCTCCCAGCTACTTGCCGGATAGCTCGATCTTGGAGGCAACTCAGCAGACGCAATGCTCAGACTTTGTCTGCTGCTTGTTGCCGAAAGCAAATTGCCTGTTGAAGATAGCACTGGGGTGGAATTGTGTAAGTCGAGGCTCCTGGAGAAACTTTTTTGAAGCTCGTGGTGTCCCCCAGCTTTATTAATATGGATACCATTAGCCCCCCAACGACAAGTTTGCGCAGTTAAGGAGTCCTCCGATGAATCCGAATCTGTAGTTAACTGCCCTTGTATGAGGAGGGATGATATAGGTTGTGCACTTCCCCTCTTGAGGCTGGATTGTTCCGCAGTTGCTGGAGGTCCACCGTGTCCAGCGCCCGGGGATAGGAGTGCATGAACGGTGCTATCAGGACTGGCTGCCCGCGATCGCACCCAGAGCATGCTGAGAGCCTCCTCAGCAGACGGACGCTCAGAGGGCAATGCAGAGAGTAGTCTCTTTACAAACTCAATGCCGGCCAAACTCATTCTATCGTGGAGTGCAGCCGCTGGGAAAGCCGCTCGTCCGGCACAAAACTTCCTCACAGCAAGCCGGTTGGGGAAGGCATCGAACCCTGATATCAGTTTGAATATAACGCACCCGAGAGACCACAGATCGACCGCGTTGTCATAAATCGAGGTGGCATGCTCGAGGTCACCATCTCCCGTGACCTCTGGGGCCCGATACCTCGGGGTGCCAACCTCGGTGTGTAGAGCCGTTTCCTCGACGTTGGCTCGCTTGGAGATCCCAAAGTCACCGATTTTAACCCACCATCGGCCGACAGGCGGTTTCCGAACAACGAAGATATTGGCGGGCTTGAGGTCGCGGTGCGCGAAGTTCTCGGCGTGCATGATCCGGAGTCCGTTCAACAAGTGGACGGTGATATCAATGGTCTCGGTCTCCGGTATACGCCCGTGTTGTCCGAGGTCTCCCAAGGGGAAGTATTCCATAAACAGATACAAATCCGAGGGCGACTCGGCCCAGCCTAAGAATTCGACTAGAACCTGTTGTTGCTGGTATTGCCGTTTGGAGAACTTGGCGAGGGCCAGTATCTCTCTCTTGTAGTCAATAGTGACAAGCTGCATCCGTCCCTTTTCGATGACTTTGACTGCGCGCTGTTCCTTGTTGGTCTCGCTCTGTTCGAGCCAGACTTTACCGTAAGCGCCCTGGCCCAGGGGCTCCGGCCTTCGATACCACTTGCGCTGGACTCTCTCGTTCAGGGCGTACTCCGTGTCCACAGTGCATCCATCATGAAAAGAAGTCTCCAAGTAAAAATGATCCAGCAGGTCTTCGATCTGCTCGGGCTTTTGAGACGATGCCATGATGAAAGCTGGCAATCAAGGATGACTGTCCAGCAGGAAAGACGGGCCCAGGTGAGATGGTCGAGGCTGCCCAGCCTTGCCCACACCCCCACCTTCTAATTTTGGTGATGTTGCACAGACAAGACTGGCATCTCGTATAGCTGACAGCCTGGAGCATGCCACATTTGGGCTGACGGGGTAAACTCCCTGTGCACTCTACCATCTACCATCTACCATCTTGCGGTCAACACTGCAAAGGGACATATGATGGAAGCGGTTTCTTTCGCGTTTGCAACAGCCTCGGTGCTAGAGCTTTGTCTGCAGTTTGTTAGCCTTCTATTCTCCTTTGAGGTTTGATGTGCTAACACCATGGCTTCGACCTCACCAGGACCGGGAAAGCCATATATACCCGTTCACAAGCGTATCGCCGAGCCGAGCCCGAGATCTACGAAGCGAACATTCGCATCCAGGGAAGCTGGCTCAAGATCGAACACCAGCTAACGGCCTTGCTCGCCGTATGGGAGGCGTTACCGAGCGACTATATACTACACCAAGAGCGGGTACTGCAAGTGCTACAGATGAAGCTGGAGTCCGCCGCAAAACGCCTGGATCGTCTAATGGCAAATTCACATGAGGATAAAGTGGTGTTGGACCCTACCATCGATGCTGGGCGACTGCCGGTCATTCGAACGTTGCCTACCATCAGCAGGGTCAAGTACGCCCTTTACGCAAAGGCCTCTCTGGAGCGCATTGTTGAGGACCTGGATAAGTGGCAGAGAGACTTTGACCCGTCATGGTTCTTCCTAGGTCGCATGGCAATCCCGATCATCGACCAGGAGCTGGCTGGCAAGCGAGCGGCGGAGAGTAACGCTGTTCGCACGCTCGTGGAGATGCGCGATGCTCGACGGATAAACGCGTCAGGCACCGGCAGGACTGGTCCGATATTCCTCAGCAGTCGTTACAAGATCACCCAACAAGAGGGCATATGTCTTTCCTCCGCTTCCACCGGCCGGAATTCACTACATGAGCTCCTCATTCTCGATCACGTCCCCGTTACGCATCCGTCAGATGTCGAGCACAAAACCAAGGAAGTCCGTACCCTCGCCAAGGTTCTTTCGTCGGTTGATCCTGAGCTCTCCGGTCTACTCCGCTGTCTCGGGGTCATCAAGTTGATGGCATCGCCTTCGGACAAGCCTACCGGTTTCAACTTTGTCTTCAACCTCCCTCCGTTCCTACACGATTCCAAGGCTATCGGTCTACGGTCCGTCTTGCTTGAGAAGCCACCCCAGTACCCCTTAACCGACCGGGTAGCCTTGGCCGTTTCACTCGCCCGTGCAGTCGTCTTCTTCCATTCCTCCGGATTCGTCCATAAGAACATCCTGCCGGAAAACATCGTACTCTGTCAACCTTCCCCAGGCACTCTTGGTACTCCCTTCCTAGTCGGCTTCGACCAACTGCGAGCCGCTGAAGGACGCACATACATGGCCGGTGATAACAGATGGGAAGGAAACCTGTACAGACACCCCGGGCGGCAGGGCATCCACCCCGAAGAGGAGTACATTATGCAGCACGACATATACAGCCTCGGGGTGTGCTTACTGGAACTCGGCCTCTGGTCCTCCTTTGTCAAGTACGACGATGACGACAATCAAGCCCCACCCACCCCTGCGGAATGGCTACAGATTTCCGAGCTCATCAGCGCCCGGGACAAGCGACGTGCAGCGACTGAAATCAAAGAGATACTGATCAACGTTGCGCAGAAGAATCTGCCGCGGCTTATTGGTCGCATCTACACCGAGGTCGTGGTATCGTGCCTTACATGCCTTGATAAGGACAACGAACTGTTTGGAGATGAAAAGGAATTCCAGGATGAAGATGGGATTCAGGTAGGGGTGCGCTATATTGAGAAGGTGAGTTTGCTCCTGGAGGAATCCAGGTACCGGTTGAGTGCTGGGTAGTTAATGTGGATAGATCCTATTCGAGCTCGAGAGAATCGCTGTTTGAGTACTACGCTAGCGAATAACATTTATATGTTCTGTGTGCAGGGTATGTGACTTTCTGGATAACATATTCCCTTACCACGCCCTCCACCTAAGGATGGGTTGATTATTGCCAGTTGGCTGCCTAGATTATACATACATCGGTGAGCGCTTGGAGTGAGCGAGGCGAGTAGATCTATCTAAATTTTGGAGCATTTGTATCTTAATACTTGTCTTTCTAGAGGGTGATTTGTTGTCACATACTACCTGAAGTAACCCCATGCCCTAAGTCGGATGTTCAGTAGTCCTTCTGTCTGCGCTAATTCATGATCCTGAACTCGCCATACTAGATTATTCATTTTCGTCTGCATACAGCACACTGACGGAATCTCAAGATGAGAACACCCCGTTTGATTGGTAGAATTGTAAAACGAGGCTGGACGTGGCTTCCCTGTCAGCCACGCAGCCTTGCATCGACAGCGGGGCTGAGCTCCAGCAATTCTTTCATCTCACCTCCATCCACTCCATCTCTGAAGAACTCAAACCATCGTCGTTCATCATCATTTTTGAATATGCAATAATCGAGCAATGGCGGAACTATTCGCCCTCATCAGCGGCGCCGCCGGCGTCGTCTCCCTCGGCCTCACAGTGTGTCAAGGCCTGGTCGCGTACTACGGACCCTTCACGACCTTCAGCAGCGAAACCGAGAACTTTCTCACCAGAGTCAAGGGTCTCAGCGCGACACTCGAGCTGCTCCAGTCGAAATTGAATCACCTCGAGGGACAAGCTCCGTTGAACCCGTACATCACCGATGAGCTTCAACTCGTCACCGACCGGATCAACGACTGCGGAGGCGCGCTGCAGAGTCTCTCTGACGCCTTAGCCGAATGTCAAGGATTTAATACATCGGGAATACTGAAGAAAAATGGATGGAAGTTCGCAAAGACGCTGTATCCGTTCCGACGGGGGACGATTATCGCTTTGATGGCCATCATGACGGGGTTGCAGTCGAACCTGGATATTGCGTTGCAGGTTCTGCTTTTGTGAGTTCCTTTGCCTTTCATATTTCGGATGCAGCTGACATCGTACGGCAATGTCGGACCGTATTCGAGAGCAAAGTGAGATGTCCCTCACCGTCTCTCAATCCATAATCTCCACCACTGCGAGCGTCCCGAGTTCACTGGCGCGGCTGGAAGATGGGCAACGGCAAATCGTTCAATTGATACACACGCTCCAGAGAACTCAACCTCCGACTATTGACAGCGGAATCGAAGATTCGCGCTCTGCCGGTGTCCCACTCGGATTAGTCCACCCGCAGCAGCGCCATTTGAGGAGCGCACCACAGTCCAGGTATCCATGTGCAGGGTCAGCGGCAACGCAAACGACATGCACCTGCGGAGGATCAAAAGGCCAATCATTCAGAGAATGGGGGTTCCGCTCATTCATCCGATCCCACCGGTATGGTTGTCCAATGTATCACAGCAGAGAGGTTACCACTCTAGTTAACCGCAGACTCACTATACTTACTTGGTTTGTTGGATATTCAGCCTGGTTTAACCTATCACTTGTCCGCGAGAGCGGTGCAGTTGCAATCCAACCCTTACTCCGTCTTCAGCATGTGGTGAACTGGGATTCGCCGGCATTTGAGATAGTATATAACCTTCACGGCTACAGAAACGCCGATGAGGCATTGTTGCGTTTGCGTCAACTTTTTGAGGAGGGAAAGGCTTCTCCCTGGGATACCCTGCCGAAAGGATGGACTCTTCTCCATGTAAGTCACCGCATGTTTCCAGACGGTGTGTTGGAAATAATTTTTCTCGGGGACGTGTTCAGGTTGGTATTGCTACAATGAAGCGCCATTTGCTCCGCTCAAACGCATTATTTTTTCCATTTCTCGAGGGACTAGTTCATTACAACGTGCCGCTCAACGAACAAGCCTATAGGTACGGTGATCGTTTCACGGTGCTGGATACTTTGCTGTTTGAGGTGGATAGATATGATACTGGATTCGGCCCTGGGTTATCCGAACGCCACCTGCCGGGCATGCTCCATCTCTGTGAGGTCTTGATAAAACATGGTGCCGTGGCGAATATGGCCTGCCTCTCAACCAGAGCAGTACACGTTGACGGATTGGTGTCACATTGCTACAGTCGCCATCTGTTGCCGCGCCATCTTCAGCGTCCTATGGCAATCACCCAGTTCCGGTGAGACGGCGGGTCTACTATTTGCTGAATCGTGGTCTGTAGTTCACAAAAGACATCTAATCCTGCTGGACCATGTCATCCTAGACACGCAGCACTCTGACAGTTGTATCTGCGCTTGCTCAGTGAACGGCTGTCTGCCGTTGACTGCTTTCTTTGCGGGGTGGTCGATTTGGGGCGATCCACGCTACCCCTTAATGCTCGCCCACATTGTGGCCCGTATCTTTGACGCTGAAGCCGGAGCCCGGCCGCCTTCGCAATCCCTTTGCGACACCGTGGCGCCCGTTGTGATCCGCTGCTGTACCTTTACCGGCCTCGGTATCCGCCACACCTGTCGGTACCATGAACCTGAATGCCCGGACTGGGGGCGCGTGGACTTGGAAGACATCGCAGAGGTACAGGAGGAGGATCGACTTCTGATAGCTAGACTCGAGGAGCTCGTTTCCGAGTTTGAGTCCAAGTACCTTGAGTTAGAATTACCGCTTGCTGAATTCCTGAGAGGGTATTGGACGTCGCGGATGGAGGAAGAGTTGGCTGAGGGCTTCAATGAGGGCGAGGTGCGAGTGATGCGCGAGGTTGGCGTTGTGGTCGAGGTGCCCTAACTACCTATAAGATACCTACTGTATCATCCAATCGCGTAGCAAGTATGAATCTCATCTAGTATGGTAGTATTCTAACTCTGTAGCCATCCGCTGTTATATGGATAGATGTGCTGCCCATCTGCCGCGCTTCAAGTATAGTGGCCCATTGCTATGGTATGAATATATTAAAGTCCTTACTCTCTCCAAACCAAAGGCTTACTTCTATGGAACCCTGCTATATTACCTATATTTCGTGTAGTTCCTGGTCCAGGCTGTTATACGTTTCCCGAACTTGCTGGCTATAATAGACGGATTTTACATCTACCCCTTATTTCAACTTCATCTAGCAATTTGGCTTGACACTATCAAACTTTAGTATTCTTATAGACTAAGTCCATTGTCAGCCAAAGGTGGAGATCTCTTATTTTGGTGGAGTTCTTATTTATTAACGCCTCCATATGCCGCGTTAGTATAGAAAAGTAAGGCGCTTAACGCCTTATTATTTTAGTAAAGGAATTAGGCTATTAATAAGTTTTTAAAGGCTTAAAATATTTATATAAACCCCTAGGTAGCTTTAGCTTTTAATAAATAACTTATTTTTTTTTTATTTTTTTTATAATATTTAATTAATAACTTTACTAGTTAATATAATATATAAAGGGCCTTATAATTATAAGCCTGGATATTAATTTAATAATTTAGCTTATTAAATTTTTACTTTTTTTAAATATTTTAAAATTATTTATATTTTTAAATATATACCTTAAAGCTATACTAAGCCCTTTATAATTAATTATTTTTTTTATTAAATTAAAATAAATATTAATTAATTTTTAACTTTTATACTTAACTTAAAAGTTATTATAATTTTTATTAATAATATTATAAGTATAAAAGTTATTTTTAAGTTTAGGAATAACTAGCTAGCTTAATATAATTAAATTTTTTATTTTATTTATATAATAAAAGTTTAAAAATTTTTTAACCTAAATATTCCTAAAAATTAAAAAAAAAATTTTTTACCCTAAGTTACCTCCTAAAAATATAATTAAAAAAAAATTTAAAATATATAATAAATACTAGCTTAATACTAAATATTATTATATTAAAGTTTAAAAAATAAATAAAGCTATTTAAAAAATTATTATTATTTTTATTTAATAATTTATTAAAAATAAACTTATTATAAAAATTCTAGTTAAATTAAAGTAATAATTTACTTTAATTAATTTTAAAATTAAACTAAAAGTATTTAGTAATTATTTTATAGCCTTAAATACTTTAATTTAATAAGGTAAGATTAATAATTAGCTTTAAAATTATAAAAATATTTATTAAAAGATTAAATACCTTAATTAACCTAAATTAAAAAATAAAATAGCTAATATTACCTTTTTATAAATAATTAGCAAGTATTTAAACTTTTATATAAAATAAAATATTAATTAATTAAATTAAAAAAATATTAATTTAATTTCTTACCTTTAATTTATATTTAAATATTAATAATATCTTTTTATAACTAATAGTTTTTTTAAGAATATTACTAAAGTAATAGCCTTTATAACTTTTAGTAAAAAATTAAATATTTTTTTAAAATAGTACTTATTAATAACAAGCCTTTTTATTTATATAGCTATTTTTAAGTAATAAAGTAGTATTAATACTTTATATAATTATATAAAAAGCCATAATATAAATTTAAAAAAAAATAAATAAAAAGGTTAGTAAAACTTTTAATAAAAATAATAAATATAATAAAAAACTTTAAAAGGTAAGGGCTAAAAATAAATAAATTCTTAAAAATAAAAAAAATTAAAAAAAAGCTTAAAAAGCTTTTTTAATTACTTAAATTATAATAAAAAAAATATTATAGTTACATGCTTATTATAAGTATTTAAAGTAATTTAATACTTTAAAATACCTTTATTTTTAATATTAGTGCCTTTATTTATATTTATAATAATTTTAATTATTTTACCTTTTTTAATTAATTAAAAAAATAATATTTAAGTAAAAAATATAATTATTATTATTTAAGGCATAAAATTAGTACTTTTTTATTTTAAGGCTTGTTAATTAAAATAATACCTTTTACTTTTAGTAAAGTAGCCTTTATACCTAGCTTTTATACTAATATTTTAGTAGCTAGGTCTTTTAAAAAGGCTAAATATTTTTAAAATTTTAATACTTTAATTACTAAAAATAATAAACTAGTATTTTATTTTAAAAATTATTTATTTAGCCTTTAAATAATTAAGTTTAAAAAAAACTTAAAGTAAAAAAAGGCTAATACCTTAACTTAAAAAAAAGTTAAAATCTTAACTTAAAAAATCTATATTAAAAAAGATTTTAAAGCTTTTTACCAGCGCCTAGGCTATATTAATAATAAGATATTTTAATATTTATTTATTATAATTAAAAAAGTTTAAATTACTAGTTTTTAACTACCTTAATAATATAGTACTTATAAATATAAATAGGCCCCTTAATAAATATTTAAAAGGCCTAAAAATCCCGCTACTATATTATTTAATTAAATTTATTTTAACTTAATTTTTATAAAAAAAGTAATAAATAAAAAAAAGTAGGTAACTTATTTTTATAATAAAAATACTAAGTTTTACTAGGCCTATGTTTACTAAAAAAAAGTAAATATAAAAATATTATTAAATAATATATTAAACTTATTTAAATCTAGTTTAATATTACTTTTAAGGTTTTTTTTTAATAATTATAAGCTTATACTTAATAATAATATTTTTAACTTTATTATATTTTAAGGTATACTTTAAAACTAGTTTATTTTTTATACTTTTTCTTAAAATAATATGGCTAAGCGCTTTAGTAATATATTAATTAAAAAAGTAAAAATAATAACTTTTTATAAAAAGATTTTTTTAATATATAGCCCTAGGTTATAAAAACCATAGCTTATATTAATAATTAAATTTTTATTAAGCTATTAAATTAAAAAATACTATAAAAAGCTTTTACTAGTAAAAAACCCTATATTTTTAGTATTAAAATACTAGGGTATTTTACCTGGGCAAGATAATTTTAGGTAAAAAGTTTTTATAAAATAAAATTAAAGGCTTTATTAAAATACTTACTAGGCTATATTACCTTAAATATTTAATAAATTTAATTTTCTAAAAAATAGCTTATATATGCCTAAAAATATTATTTTTAATAAGTTTAAATTATATAATTTAAAAAATCCCTTTTTTATTATTAATATTAAAATTAAGTTATTAAAGCCTTTAGCCTAAGTTCTTAATATTTTTTTTTAAAACTATAAATTTAAAAAGATTAACCTTAACCTTAACTTTAATAAATTTTTTAAGTAAAAAAAAAATAAAGGTATTTTAAACATAAATAGGCCACGGGTGGTGGAGATCTTAAAAGAAGGTATTAATAATAATAGTAAGTATAAAGTAAAAAATAAGGCTTAAAATACTACTAGTAAAATTAAAAATATTATTAATAAAAAAAAGGCCTTTAATTAACTAAATAAGTTTTTATACTTACTAACTTTAAAGCTAACTTCTAAACCTTATTATTATAAAAGGCCTATATAAAACTTAGCCTTATAAATAGCTTTAAAAGCTTATTTAAAAAATTCCTAATAATAAATTTTATACCTTTAAGTACCTTAATATTTTTCTACTAATTTAGCTAGTAAATAGTTACTTAAAAAAAATAAATAAGCATGCCTAGCTCCTTTTTTTTTAGCCTTTAAGCTTAGCGCATTTAAAAAATAAAACTTTAGTAATTTTAGCTTTTTTTTTTAAAATAACCAGGCGCAGGCTTAAATAATATAATACTAATAATTATATATATAATTTAAATTTAAATAATACTTTTTTAAATAATTTAAATAACCTTAACTATATTTAATTTACCTTTTTTACTTTTTATTAAAACCCTGTAAAAGAACACCTTTATTAAAATAATTTTTTTTAAGCGCTAAAATAATTTTAAAAATTATTTACTTTATAATAAGTTCCTAAAGGCTTTAAACTTTAAACTAGGAATATTTTATAAAATAAAAGTATAAAAAGTAATAAATAAATAAAAGGCAGGAATAAATAAGCTAATCCTTTTATTATAGGTTTTTACTTATAAATTTAATATTAATAACTATTTTATTAAGGCTAAAGCCTAAATTTATATACACGGAAATTTAAAATTAAAATTTTTTTAAAAAAATTAAGTAGTAACTACCTTAGCAAGGGATTTTAAAGCTTTTATAATACTTATAGCTACTTTTAAACTTAATTTTAATTAAAAAATACTATTAACATGTTTTTTAATACTACCCTTAAAAAGGTAGTATATTTTTACTTTTTAAATAGCTATAAATAGCGGGGTAAGTTATTAAAAGCCCTTAAAATTATTTATAAATTTTAAAAAAAATTTTATTTTTATGTAAGACCAACAAGTCTCGAAGATCTTTACTAATAATAAAGATATTAATAAAGAAATTTAATTAATAAAAATGGAGTATTCTAAACCCCGTTAAATAATATTAAAAAAGTTACTTAAAAATTTAGGAAAAAGGCTAGTTTTAAGGCTATTTTTATAAACCTTTAAGCTATGCTTAAGCTATTTTTAACTAAAAAATAAATATAGGTTTAAATACTTTATATATAAATTTTTATTTTAGCTTATACTTAAAACCTACCCTAGCCTTACTTAATTAATAACTAAAACCTTAAATACTAATAATTTAGTTAAGTTATATAATTTAATATAATAATAAGGTATACTAAGCCCTTGGTAGCCTAAGGCTAAAGCTTAAATTACCTAAGGTATTAATTTTAAATTAATAATAAATTAGCTTTAGTAATATTAAATAAAAAAATATTAGCCTTAATAATTTTTTTTTTTAATTAAAGGGTTGTCCGCGACCCCCCGCTAAACTAAAAAAAAATAATAATAAAATATTATTATTATTATTAATATTAATACTAAACATAGCTTTATTATTGCTATTTTTAACTTTATTAAAGTATTAT